GGAATCAACATCATCATCAACATCACCAACGGAGTCATCATCATCATCATCGTCATCATCATCATCATTTTCATCTTCATCGTCCTCATCATCTTCATCATCATCATCCGAAAAATCATCGACATCTCCCGAATCAACATCATTATCAACATCACCATCCGAATCATGATTATCACATCATCATCGTCTTCAACATAAACATCAACATCATTATCCGAAACATCATAACCCTACGAATACACATCTTCATTATCATCATCATGATCGTCATCTTGATCATCAACATCATCATCATCATTATCAATCGGATCATCATCATCATCATCCGAATCATCCGAATCATCATTTTAATCGATATAATCATCATCAGCAGCAGCAGCCTCTTCATCATCATCATCCTCATCAACATCATCGCGATCATCTTTATTTTAATCATCGTCATCATCATCTTCATCATTAATATCTTATTCAACATCATTTTCCCCATCGTCATGATCATCATCATCATCATCCGGATGAACATCATCACCATCATCATCAACAACGTCATCATCATCATCACCATCATCATGATCATCAACATCATCATCAACATCATCATCATCATCATCATCATCATCACCATCCACGTCATCATAGTCATCGTCTTCGTCTTCGCCATCAACATCATCATCAAGATCATCCGAATCATCACGAACATCATCCGAATCACCATCATCATCATTGCCATGATCATCGTCTTCGTCGGTAATATCATCATCATCATCATCAGCATCATCATTATCTACGTCATCATCATCATCATCATCATCATCATCATCATCATCATCATCATCATCATCATTGTCGTCATCATTATCAGCATCCTCATCATCATCATCTCCATTATCATCACCAACATCATCATCATCATCATCATCAGCATCAACATCAGCCGGATCATCATCAACATCATCGGAATCAACATCATCATCAACATCACCAATGTAGTCAACATCATCATCATCATTATCCGAATCGTCATCATCATCATCATCATCATCATCATCATCAATTTCATCTTCTTCAGTATCACCATCTTCCTCATCATCATCCGAAATATCATCGACATCTCCTGAATCAAAATCATGATCAACTTCACCATCCGAATCATGATCATCACAGCATCATTGTCTTCAACATAATCATCAACATCATTATCCGAGTCATCGTAAGCCTACGAATACACATCTTCATCCTCATCATCATCATCGTCGTCATTTTCATCATCATCATCATCATCCTCGTCATCCGGATCATCATCATCATCATCTTCATCATCATCCGAATCATCATTTTCATCATTATGATCATCATCATCAGCAGCAGCATCTTCATCATCATCATCTTCAACATCATCATCATCATCATCATCATCATCATTATCATCACCAGCATCATAATCATCATGATCACCAGCATCATCATGATCATGATCATCATGAACCTAATCGGATCCAACATCATAATCAACATCACCAACGGAGTCATCATCATCATCATCATCATCATCATCAACATCATCATAATCATCATCATTATCATCGTCATCTTCATCATCATCTGCGTCATCATCATCATCATCAGGCGAGTCATCAACATCGTCATCATCCACATCATAAACATCATCATCATCATCATCATGAGCATCATAATCATCGTCCTCATCATCATCATCATCATCATCCTTATCATCATCGTCATCAACCGAAACATAATCGATATAAGGCGAAATACCAACATCTTCAACATCATCATATTTGTCAACATCATCATTATTATCATCATCCTAATCATCGTCATCATTATAATCACCATCATCATCATCATCATCAGCAGCAGCAGCATCATCAATAACCGAATCATCATCAACCTCATCGGAATCCACATCACAATCAACATCACCAACGGAATTATTATCCTCATCACCAACAACATCAACATCATTATCACCATCATCGGCATCATCATCACCATCATCATTGTCATTATCATCATCATTACCATCATCATCAACATCAATTATTCACCATCATTATCATCCGAATCACCATCATCATCATCATCATCATTTTCAAACACATCATCATCATCATCCACGTCTTCATCAACATCAGCATCCGAGTCATCCGAATAATCGCCATCATCCTCCGCATCATCATCAGCATCATCATCATCATAATCATCAACAACATCATCATCATCAGCATCATCATTATCACCATCCTACTTATCATCACCATCATCATCATCAACATCATCATCAACATCGTCATCATTATCATCGTCGTAATCATCATCATCATCGTCATCAGCATCATCACTATCATCTTCATCTTCATCATCTTCATCTTCATCATCGTCATCCGATTAATCATCATCAATCAAATCACCATCATCATCATCATCATCTTCATCATCATCTGCGTCATCATCATCATCATCAGGCGAGTCATCAACATCGTCATCATCCACATCATAAACATCATCATCATCATCATCATGAGCATCATAATCATCGTCCTCATCATCATCATCATCATCATCCTTATCATCATCGTCATCAACCGAAACATAATCGATATAAGGCGAAATACCAACATCTTCAACATCATCATATTTGTCAACATCATCATTATTATCATCATCCTAATCATCGTCATCATTATAATCACCATCATCATCATCATCATCAGCAGCAGCAGCATCATCAATAACCGAATCATCATCAACCTCATCGGAATCCACATCACAATCAACATCACCAACGGAATTATTATCCTCATCACCAACAACATCAACATCATTATCACCATCATCGGCATCATCATCACCATCATCATTGTCATCATCAT